ATTCCTGCTTGTTGCTATAATATGCAAAATGTAAGTATCATTGTCGGCTTTTTAATTACAGTATAACTAAGGACCAGGCGTTCAACTGGTGTGTGGGGATGTTGCAAGCATTGCTTCGTTTTAAGAAAGGGCACTGAGTTTGGTATTCAAGCATAATTATACAAAGCAAAAGTACTGAATAAGTAATAATCAGCCTCATTAATTATCAATAATAACATTCAGCAAAATTGGTGGGGTAAGAGGGTTATTCGCCTTAATCTTAAACATCAAAACCATATACTGAGTGAGGCGACTTTGTTAAAAATCTATTTGTCCTTATCGCGCTTCTTTGCTTAAATGGATCTGGTTGGGTCAGTGATTTCCCCAGGAGGACTCTGTCTCTAACCCTGGTGAAAGCTGCTAAGGGCATCTTTCATGGCTAAAATGTACAGGCCAGTATTTTCTCAGTCTTGTCTAGTCCAGCCTGCAGACCTACGCTCTATGTTGGGCCTTGGGCATGTAGTCTGAATGTCAATTGACACCAAGGAGTGTGGTAGATGCTCTGAAGAGGTAAAAATTCAGTGCCTTTGTGCTTGCTGCTCCTCTTGACCTCTTAACAGCAGCAAGTGGATTCAACTGTTGTTTGCTTTGAGTTTTTGAACTGTTTAGTTTATTTTTAATTACTACAGAGGCAATGGAGGCTGTGTAGTAAAAATGGATGCCATATAGCCAAACTTCCCAAAATGTGCTGTGAAGAAACCCAGATAACACTTTGGATTTCTGTAGCTGTGGCTAGTCAAATCCAAGTGATGAATTAAAGAATTAATGTAATTACAAGCTTCTCCCCTGAAACATGCAGCAAGCAGCAATTATCAGTCCACAATAAACACAGCTCCCAGTAATGTAGGCGCTGTCCTCGACTCTGCTAATTTCTTATTAATTTCTTTAATGCTTTTTAATTTATTGGTCATCCTGATCTGTCCTTGGCTATTTTCCTTTCCATACCTCATTTCCTTTATCAAATAAAGGTCTTGTCTACAGGAATGTTATATTAGAATAACTGTTATTAACTCTACTTAACGTGTCTGGTGTCTATGATAACCTGTTCTTAAGTCAATTTAATTAGCATAGCAGGTCTCAATAAGCAATCCTTTTTAGAATAAGACAGCTTAACTCCCCACAGATTTTATTCACGTTGTGCGTTATATGCACTTGTTCCCAACTGTGCAGCCTTGATGTATTGGTGGAAATCCCCAAACCGCTCTTACTCACATTGCTGATTCTTTTACGGATTGACCTCTCTGTATAGCTGTAGGACCTCCACTGCTCCGGCATCATCTTCATCAGCTCTCTCCTCTCTCTTTGGGACAGCAAAACCCCAACACCAGTTAGTTCCAACACCAGTTAGTAGCAGTCATACCACTCCGTGTTTTCCTGCGGAGTTCTGCAAGTATTTGGATGTTATGCAGTTGTCCCCTGCAGAGATCCTGAAACAGATATAGGGGGAGAAACAGGTATAGGGGAAGACTTCTACTCAAGGATCAGCTTGAAGATGCTGTACTAAGGCATTTTGTGAACTTTAATACCTTAGGCAAATTTAAGCTAGCTTTTCCAGGTTCAGCTGCTTGATGCTACATTGCTTGCTTCTAGGACTTTATCTCTGCCTGGCTAGTATATAAATCCCTATCACCCAAAAGCTCATTACATCCCATCTTCTCCAAAGTGCTTAATATTTTATCTGCCTGCTGCACTGAATTTCATGAAGTTGCTAGCTTTACTCCACCCTTCCCAAGCTGCTTCTTGCTCAGCTCCTTGCCATTTCTCTAATCTTCCAGCCTGCCCTGGGAGGAGGTGGGAAGTGTAAGAAGATGAAACACAGTACTTACTCCGCTCATTTGTTGCATCTGCAGATATTAAAAAAAAGAAAAATAGAACAGGTTCCCTAGATCTCAGTTGCATTAGTACTTTCAGTTTTTACTGCTCTTGAAAATTCATGAAGTGTACCACGCAATTCAAGCCCTAGAATAATTTCAAATTTCATACGATTTGAAGCCATTATAAGGAATTTCATTATAGCAAAGAGTTCTATAAATTTTTCTTTGTGCTTCCTGGTGATTGCAGGCATCAGGGATACAGACCACCATTCAGGAGAAATGCTACAAGGAAAAGTAGCCCTTTGGGACTGTTTGGATAGACTTTTCCCTTCACTTACTTGCAGTAGCTGATGGGGTTACTGTCTTGACAAAAAGCACCATTGAATGTTTTTCTGGTTTGTCCTTTGTCTTTATGAACGAGCATCTTCTGCACTTCCTTAGGCTGTGCCTTGGAATAACATTTTCTCCTGGAGGCAAGCCCACAGGAGGATGTAGTTAATAACTTGCTCCCAGCTGCTCTCACTTAACTGACATGAGGCCGGGCAGTAGCCCCCCGTACCTGACACCACCGTGGTCATCCCCAGCTCCGCCAGGCACCCCTCCCTCCCCTGCGCCGCACTCAGGTCTGTGACCAGCAGACACCAGCCACCCGCTACAGGGATGCCGTCTGGAAAATGTCACGGGGAACCTCGGGGGAGGCAAGGCACCAGGAAAAGACACTCCAGCGTACTGTGGAAACAAATGTTTTATCAGTCTCATCGTAGCGGTTAGAAGAGGGAAAAGAAGAACTTGTTCTCTTACTTATTTCTCTTTAGCCTTTTCATGTCACAGCCTGTGGGAAAAGTGGCAAATTTCAGGCAGACAGACTCAGCACAATAGCTAGAGGCTCTGAAACACCGAATTAAGGCATGAGGGTCCCGTGGGGTGTTTCCAAAGCCTGAAGGTCCAAGTAGCGCTAATGGAAAGGGCTGTGCTCTAACCCGTGTAGAGACAAGCAGAGATAACTGGGATGCTTTCTCTGACAACATATTTAATCACATAACTCTAACTTTTCAGAGTCCTGAAAAAAAGAACAGGACCATTCTGAGGGCACCACTGTCACCACCCTCACCAACGCCTCACTGAAAAGACCCTTGTACCTGAGGGGCAAGCAGCCCCCCCGAACACAAGTGTGCTTCTGCCTCATTCTGCTGGGCGTTTGTGCACCCCTCCTTAAGTGTTTCTACGCCAGAAGTGACATGTAACTTACGCTTTTTGCTGACTCAATAAATAATGTTGATATGTCTCCATCAAAATCTTTTATTGACAAACAGCACGACTAGAAATGCGCCAATTCCAAAGAAAGCCAAACCTTGTTGGTTACCTTGTACAGCAATAGCATAAATCAAAACCCCACTCAGAGCTGAAACAAGATAAGGGTGAAATCGTGTGGCCTCCAGGGCCTTCCTCCTGAAAGGCTTGGGAGACCCGATGGAGTGCAGGAGCCATGAAGGCAACAGTGCTTTGCAGAGCTAATGTGGGTATGGGCACAGAGACCTAACCCTCAGCAGGAAAGCTCG